ATTGCTCTAAAGGTACAATTTACGCTCCATTTCTAAATAACATTGCAGAAGATGAAATTGTTGACAATTTAGAAGATCACGGAGTTACTTTTGTGTGTAAATTCACTAAAAATATAGAAGGCAAACAAAGACCTAGTGGTGTGCTACTTCTTTCATTTGACCTCTACAAATTTTCAAAAAAAATCGAAGTCTCATGGCGCACAATGCGGATTAGAGCATATTTCCCTAACCCCATGAGGTGTAAAAGTTGCCAGCTTCACACAACGAAACGTTACAGCAACAACCCTGCCTGCGACATGTGCAATTTCCCTCCTCATCTCCAGTCGCCATGCAACCGCACATTTTGTGCAAATTGCTCAGGCGATCATCCTTGCTCTTCACGCTCTTGTTCTAAATACCTACAATCCAATAACCTACAATAAATAACAAACGTGATTTCCCACCGCTTACCATCTCCTCCCCTACCACTCTACACAAACACTGTACTAAAATCCCCAACAGCTTATCCTCTTACAGAACAAAAGCAAACCATGATAGTAAACAAAAAAAATTTCGTAATTGATAACCATCTAAACTCACCAAATCAAACTACAAAAGAAACAACAAAAAACGTTCCTAATCTAACGCTTACCCAAACAAAAACAAACCACACATTTCTAAATTATGCACAACAGATTCTCTTAACATCCAAATTCCCTCTCTCTCTACAGACAATATCAATTTCGCTCCACCTACTTATTCAGAATATATCTCACCTCATATAATTACCACATCTGACCATGAAGATCAATTACTCCCATTATCCCTCCTCTCCTTTTTCTCAATCACTCACATTACTAATAAATGTTCAAATTTCTCCAATGAAATATGAACGGATTGTACAACAATTACGCTGTACCCAAACAATACGCTGCCTATTTCTCCAACTTAACACAAAATCATACTAACAACACTACTTTAATAAAAAAAGACTTCCCACACAAATTTCTCCCTACAAGTTTTAATATTTCTACAATAGCAATAGAAATATTTATTGGGCTTAAATTAACCATCCCTACAATTTACATTCCACCACACAAAAACTTTAATATCAAAGAACAACGCTATAATCGGACCTATCCAAATACCCGTACTTATACTTGGCGATTTCAATGACTGGAGCCCTCTTTGGGGTTCCACATGTACTAAACAAAGAGATAAAATCCTAGAAGACCTTTTATTAGCAGAAAACTTGACAATTTTAAACGACGGTTCTCCTACGTATTTTCTACACATAATTCGTTCACGAATGTAGATCTGGTCATTTGTTCTTTTGCTATCGCCCCCAAAGTTAACAGCCAAACACCAACTGATATTTATATCCGTAACAGCGATCATTTCCCCATTATAACCCACTTATCAACTCCTTTATCCTGAGAAGGGTCGGCGAAGCAAAAATTTCTGTTGGGCAAGGCAAATTGGTCCAAATTTCAATAACTCTGCGAAAATTTGTCTGCTGCAAGTAATATAGACGATAGTATAAATAAAGAAAGAGCTACGATTACCGAAATAATCAAAACTTCTGCTCACCTATCTATCCCCCAAACGGGTAAAAAAAATCTTCAAAAATCACGTGCCTTATTGGTCTACGGAGTTATCTAAACTTAGAGAAAAAAAGCAATCACTATGGTTAACTTACAAAAAAGCTCTATCTATTGATAACCTAATAAAATACAAAAAAGCTAATGCAGTGTTTCGGAAAAATATTAAAGAAGCTAAGAGGTATTGCTTACAAAAACTTACCGAAGCTATCACTCCGTTAACAAATCCCAAGAAATTATGGGCGGACATAAAAATGCTCTCAGGTTCCTATACGCACGTGAATCTTAATTGTATAAACACTCCAAATGGCCCAATTTTCGACTCAAAAGAAATAGCTAATCATTTCGCCTCTGCACGGTCAGATTATTCGAGCGATTCAAACTTCCACCCCTCATTTGTATCAAATAAAAATGAACTTCTCAGGAGAAGATACAGTAAAGATCTCTCACCCCCATCTTTTACCGAATCAAACATAATCATCGCAGAATTCGATTTCACTTTATCTTCAGTGTCAAGCAAGACTCCTGGTGCAGACGGGATTTCATATCCCATGCTAAAAAACTGTCCTTTAAGTCTCAGAAATAAAATTATTAAATTGTACAACAATATTTTATGTCAATATGTCTACCCTCAAAGCTGAAAAAATGCAGTGATTGTAGCAATTCCTAAATCCGATGTAGTGCTACAGATGTTCTTGGTTACAATATCACTCCTTTGTTGCATGGGCAAACTATTAGAAAAAATCATATAAAAACGTATCTCGTGGTTTGCATTAAATAAAAACCTTCTCAGTCAAAACCAAGTGGCATTTAAAGCAGTTCAAGGCAATGTGGATGCTTTACTCTATTTTGACGATTTCGCCAAAACTGCTTTATAGAAAAGAAACCACATATCCACTCTCAGTTTGGATTTCAAAAAAGCTTTCGACAGAGTTGGTTCTCATGTCATTCTACGACAACTTGAGAAGTGGCAATTTGGTGAAAAATATTTAACTTTATAAAATATTTCCTAATTAATCGGAAATTCATGACTAAAATCAAACACGTACAATATGTACAACGGAATACCAGAATGATCACCATTGTCTGTCATACTATTTGTAATCGCATTTAACGAAATCAGTACGATAATGTGCTGATGATGTGCTGATCTTCTCCAAGCAAAATAATCTTAATACTGTTAAAAACACCTTCTAAATATCCTTTTTGATTTTTCAAATTGGTCCAATTGTTCAGGTGCGAATATTTCTATAAACAAATGCAAATTATTCCATATCTGTACAAAACACAAATGTAATAACTTCAATCTTAACTATATAAATATTGTAAATACTACTAGTCTTAAATTCCAAGGTTTAATATTATATTTAACAATAGACTTACTTTTAAGGAACATTGTACAAATCTACGTAAGCACCTAATTTCTAGGCTTAATATAATTAATATTGTTTAATTGACGTTTCTTTTCTCATCAATATTACAAGAGCTTTAATTTTATCTAAGATTGATTAAGGTCTCCCTATCTACGGCAACTGTGCCAAAAGCAACATAAATCTTTGCACCATATCATGCAGCCGTTAGAAGAAGTATTCGGGCATTCCCAACTTCTACACGTCTTTTTTTTATTGTTGATAACGTTGGAAATACGTTAAAAGCTGGACTCCTGCCCAATTACAGCTCAGTATACACCGCAGAAGCAGCAGCCATCCATAATGCGCTATCCTCTCCTGAATGCATCTAACAAATCCGACCTCATTGCGCAAATTAGAAACATACTACAGTGAAACTTCGATAACTCGTATTTGCAAGAGACCACAATTTAAATACGAGTTATGGAGTTTTTCAAGTTATACAACTTATAGAGGCAACATACAGAATATACGAATTATAGAGTTTTATTTATTTATTTTTCAATTTTACATAAAAAACAAGAAATGATTGTACATATTTAAATTTTAAAATATAAAGTACATATGTTACTCAATCAATATATGTATGTATGTATTTTGAAAAATTGTACAAAAAAATTAAAAAAAGTATTCATTTTAAAAGAAATCCGTAATATGTTTTTGACGGACATTATTTTGTCGTATTTTATCTATGGCATTGTCAGTGTCTTCAACATTTGATGCCATGAAAAAAAGACGCAAATTTTCAATTGAAGCTTTCGCAACCTTTTTGGAAACTGAAGGAATTTCAAATGTTCAAATACGAGTTGAAGAGGCTTTTGATACACATTTTTCAATTTTTGTCTCAATTAAAATACGAGTTATCAAAGGGACCGAAATACATGCATTTGTCGCGAATTTTTCTAGGGACCAAAGAAATACTATGAAATATCAAGGTTTTTCGCTTATCGAGGTTACGACTTATCGAAGTTTCACTGTAATTGGGAAAACAAACATAAAAGTTATGTGGATCCCTTTACACGCGGGTATTACTGGAAATGAATGAGCCGATCAAAACGCTAAATTGGCGTCAAAACAACCATTGATTGTCTTCGTCTACATCGAAAAAAACGACTTAATCCATTTAAACGCTTCAAAACAAAAAGCTATAAAAGTTAATGCTTGGAAGAATGTGCAACACCACTACGCTATCTGCAACCAAGAGGGCAAAAAAAATTCCTTATCCGTTCAGACCGTTGCCAAGATATAAAAGCAGTTGTTCGCCTTCGCCTTCGGCTTGGTCAAACGTCATTAACGCATCCCCATTTATTAAATGGAAACTGTAATTCATCCTGTCTATATTGTAGTTCGTCGACCTTAACCATAACACATCTACTGGACATGAATGCCTCTTCATCAATTCAGCAAGGACCAGTATATTTCAGAATAATAAAGCTCTTGATTTATTAAAAATAACGTCTATTGTAAACATCACTAAAATATCTGAATAACTATCTCGTACAAAGTTAAAGAAATATATTTAAGTTATCCTTGCTTTTCAAAATTTATTTTTAACATATATTGTTAGTTCATAAAAACATATTGCTTGTAAATAATTCCTAAATGGAAGGTTCCATCTTTATTATTTAAGTCGTTTATATTAAAACCGTGAGCTGAAAGCCTCTGTAGCTAGTGTTCTTTATGTTATTGTATTATTATTTCACAAATAATAAATAAATAAAATAAATAATATTTCTTAAATCCTAAATTTAAAATATATAGTTAACAGCTGATCACGATCAAATCTAAACACACCAAACACGACAAAGCTAAAATGCGTTACATAAATTTCGGTAAGAATGCGAGTATATGTACATAACTATATACTCGTACCATTTACTCATTTCTACAAGCCGATTTACGCTTTTTTACTCTCTTGAGTTATTACTTGACTCAACTCTTAACTAATTTAGAGTGAAGTTAAATCCAGATTTACGGAGGCATTGTCTTTGAGTTCACAAACGTATTTAGATATTAGTATCAACTCTGACATCTTCAACGAAGTATACTTTAAAGCTGGGAACAGTAATAATTTTAAATAAATATTTGTATAAAAACAGCTGGAATTTTTAATTTTATAGAATAAAAACACTACTAGAAATATATGAAGGTCCAGAATGCCGTGCTCAGCAGTTACGCTTTCTATTGCAACAATATCTGCAATAATTGCAACGGCTTTATTAGCAATCGCCTTTTCTACAGATAACTGGTTATACTATGACGTTAAAAGAAGTAATATCCAGGTGAGTTAAGTAAACACTTGTAGGGCAGAAATAACTTAGCTTTAAGAAAAAAAAATCGTTTAGCTGTACATATGATTAAAAATAACTTACATTGCACGCACATATATTAAATAAAGTTTTAACTTTCTACAACGTGTATTTTATGGTCATAGCTTAGTTTTCTTTTCTCTAATGCTACGTACAATATGTACATACATATTATATTTTGCTTGTAGTATATGCCTTTGTATATGTGAAGTGTGAATGGAATGCGTCTTATACAAATGCATAATGAACCTTTTGTCGAACGCCTAAAAATTAAAACATATAAACATATATATTTGTAAATATGTTCGTATTAACCTGTATGAAAATGTACTTATGCTTGCATAAAAATATCTTAAGTATGTGAATAGCTAACGAAACGCTTACTTGAGTTACCTCCATACCTGCTGTAATTTTTGTTTTCGGAATTATGAGTGCTTTTATAGTTATTTTTGTGTCTGTGAAAAACCGGTTTGAGCTATATTTTGCTATTTATGCTCAGTATTTGTGCGTATATGTATGTAAATATGTATATATCGAAATATACATACATTTGTATGTATGTACATAAGTGTATATAAATACATACAAATGTACATGTATGTAAATAATAGTGCTTTATTTAAACTTCGTATATTAAAATAAACGAGTCTTCATGATAGAAATATTAGTAGCTTTCACATATTTAGTTTATATAATATTTTATTATGAACTATAAATATTAGTTAGTTATATTATTTCTACATTGAGTGATAAAACCGAAAGTAGAAAAAATAACTACATATGTTATAAGCTGTTAATTCTTACTAATGCTGGGTCTCTGATAAACTGTGAACTGAGTTAAACTATCTCTCCACCTTATTGTATGTATTATATGTCAGGTATAAAAAATAATATTATGGTATCACACTTTGTCACTTTGTTTGATTTGTCAAAAGTGTTTTAACAAATAATGTCAAAACTAGCCATTTTTTGTATGAATCAAAACTAAATTTTTCAAAGAATTCATAGAATGAAAATGTGTTTTTTGAGTTAAAACTGAATACGAATAAATTGTTAATGACACAATTTGATCAAAATATAAATTAGAAATTCATGGACACTAAGTTCACTACGATCCTATGGAAATTTTTTTTAAGGTTCTTTCTGGATTTAAAGTTTCTGGTTGAATATACTGAATGTCACCAATTGCGACTCAACAGATTTACTTATACGGCGATTGTTATTACTACCATAATCTTCGGAAAGAGAAACGTCATTTGGAATGATTATTTAGTCCTGTTGACGGTGTGGGTATTTACCTTTGATATGATACGAGCGCACTGCAAGTGTTGAATATAATATGAATGCAAAGACGTATAAAAATGTACTGGAAAATGTCTTTTTCCGTTTTAAAAATTGTTTAGAACTTTTCACGATATGACAGAGCACCGCTTCACATGGGGCTTAGCCTTAGATTAAAGGACAAAACATCGTTTAATGCAGTGGACACCGTACTCACATGACATCAATATAATAGGAAAGGTATGGGGATGGTTGGCTCGCAAAGTTTTGAGTCTGCTCGGTAGGTTTCCAGTAAACAGGAATAAGTTAAAAGTATGGTTCGCCATTAATTTCGTTAATTTATATTGGATAATCGTAGTAATCGCCACCCAATCCGATTTGAGATATTATTCTCAACAGTTTAATAGAGAAGTTTAAGAATATATATTTTGCTAAAAATTTAAGAAAGAAAAAAGGTGATATGTGCTAACCTGGTGATCAAATTTAAATTGTTAGTTCTTGTTGATTCAAAAAAATTCAAATACTAATAAATGCGGGAAAAATGAAAAACATTAATTTTTATTTTAATAAGTAACTAGTACGCGCTTTACTGATACATATGTATGTAGATGGTCAGCCCTATTAGTTACTGAAGTATACTATCAAAAGGCATTTCGTGTGTTAATAAAGCATTGTTTTTTGGAAAAAATACTGTTGTATTTCGGCTCTGCACCAACTCTGCAACCTTTGAAAAGAGATTTGCTACATTGTAGTCCAATCGACAGTCAGCCTAGTGGCCTGCACATTATGAACCACTCATCAAGCATAGAAAGTTGGCTGGCAAGGTTATGCCATCAGTCTTGTGGGATGCGCGTGGTATAATATTCATCGACTAATTACTGAACCAGTTATGATCTATTGCACTGTGTATTAGTTTTCAGAATGGATATATTTGAAATTGTACGGATATCCTTCACCGTTTGCGTTTAAATGTTGTATTGCTTTGTGCAATCTGTATTTCTGTATACCTCAAATTATAATAGACGCTTTTATGAACACTGCAGTTATTCCGCTATTTTGTTGTTTGATATGAATGCATATACGTAAAGTAGTCACAATGCCTTAACGACGATAATGTTAATGCCATTTTGTGATATTAAAAATATTTCATTCTCCTAATAAGGACTTCTGGTTCAGGAGCAAAAACCAGTATAACTCATATACTAAGAATGCATGCAGTCGAAAATTAGTGTTCTCCCGCATTAGCTCTGTGTTTTTTTTTTTACTTATTTCCTTCTTTTTTAAAGTAATAAAATTTCCAAATGATTCTTACATACATACATTTTTAACACATGCTTATGATTTCAAATATAATTCTGGTATTTATGAACTGTATTGACTTCTAACAAAAAGAGATAAAAAGTAACCTATGTCCGCCCCTGGTTTTAAGCTACCTCCGCACCGTTGGCATAAGTGCATTGCATCGGGAGGCGATTGCTTTGAAGGGGATGAAATTGATTTGGAAGAATAAATAAAGAATTTTAAAAATAAATACAATGCCACCTTATTTTTTGGGCACATAAAACCATCACTACTATAGTGGAACAAGTTAAAGCTCTCAGTTTAAAACATGTTTTGAATAGATTTGTTATTTTTATTTATTTATTTATTAAATGAAAAATAATAATACAATTATTATCTTACGGAGTAAGAAGCACTAGCTGCCAGGGCTTACGGCTTACTGCTCTAATAAAACTATATTGTCTTAGAATATTAATATATTAGCCATGAGATCAATATTACTGTCAGTACAATTATTAAAATAATTGATGTTAGTAAAGAAGTTATTTGGATCTAAGATAACTTACAATTAGGGAAATAAATTAACTTTCTAAGGCCAGTTTTGTACAAAAATTCGGCTACCTTGTGAATGTTTTCTTCAGAAAAAGCCTTGAGCGTATTTGAAATTGGTTGGTCATCAAATAGTGCGCTTCTAGTTGCACTAAACTTAGTGCATTCATCGAGAAGATGTTTAACTGTAAGCGATGAATAAGTGCAGAATTCGCAGCGTGGTCTATTTGAACCGTTTAGCGGGTACGAGTGGGTGGCCATGGTATGCCTAATTCGAAGTCGAGTAAAAGCAATAATGTCTTTTGCTTTGTATAAGTTTGGTGCGTATTTCAGCGATTAGGGGTACCTTGTTAGTAATATTCATGATACTAGCAATAGTTGACATACTGTCTGTGCAGATTATCGTCATGTCGTTAGATTCTGGGGCTGCTAGTATTGCGTTGTATAGTGCAACCGCCTCTGCCGTATACACTGATCCATAATTTGGTAGATGTCCTGCTATTACTGTTTTCCCATCGGCTTGGACCACAGCGAATGACGTGCAGTCCTTCGACTTTGACCCATCGGTGTAGTACGTTTCCATTCGTTCCGAAAAGGAGCTCTGTATTCTTCAAAAAGGCGCTGGAATACTGTTGGCCTTGTGGTTGACTTGGCGTCATTTGTTAAACCGATAAGGAAAGATGAGTAGCTTAATTCCCAAGGTGGTGAGCTGACAGGAGGCAGAAAAGATGGTTTCGAGTCTATTCCTAAAATTTTAGCGTATTCCAGCACTCTGTGCAATGTTGGCGTGCGTCTTGGGGTTTTATTAGCGGCCCATTTCGTTGTGATAGTGTCATAAATAATACTATTTCTGCAGAGAAAGATCTCTGGGATAATCTTCATAGTGGTATATTCAATTCTTTCTTGTAAGGTAGGCATCCCAGCTTCGGCTAAGATGCATTGAATCGGGGATGTTGGAAAGGCGCGTATACTTCGAACGGCTGCATGATACGTCGAAGAGATCAGTTTTATATTACTCTTTGCACTATTTCCGTATATTGGTAAGTCATAGTCAATCTTCGACAATAGTATAGCCTTAGTAACATTGATTAAAGTGTTTGGATGGATAAGGCAGTGTTTAGAAGATAGATATTTAATAATATTTAACCTGACAGCTAGGCTTTTTTAACTTAAGATAGTGCTCCTTAAAAGTTAAACCTTTGTTGAAGGTAATTCTAAGAAAACATAAGCTAGAAACATTTGAAATATTAATATTATATGAACTAAGTTTAAATCCGTATATCTATGTTTGCGGCATATATGAAAATATTTGCACTTATTGAGCGACAGAGTCGGTGCAGAGCAATTTGACCAATTAGAGATATCGGTGTTTAGATTGCTTATTTTAGAATAGAGTAAAACGTCATCTGCATACATAATGTGGGAAATGTTCTTATGTCTGCTAATTATGTGGCCTAATTCATTAAAAGCGATAGCAAATAGCATGGGATACCATTTTGTTGGTTATGTAAACTGGAAAAAAACATTATTTAATTTTACTTTGAATTTACGGTTAGTGAGAAAAGAGTATATGGTATATTTTTATTACCAAGTTATTACCCATTCTTCTAATTGACGTAGAACTATGTGAGCTCCAACACGATCAAAAGCCTTTTCAAAATCTAGACTGAGTGTAGAGATATGATTGCGGGAAGAAAAACCATATGAGACAAACCTTTAAAAAAGAAGGAGCGCGTCGGAAGTTCCTTGCCCCTCTTTGAAAGCGAACTGATTTGGACTAATTAAACTGTGTTTAGAAGTATACCACATAATTCGTTTTGAAACGATTTTTTCTATTAACTTACTCAGGCAAGATATAAGTG